TGTGAACACGATGGGCTAGTGGTTTCCTTGTTTATTTTGTTACTGTTTGATTCATAAATCAAGAAATTAAATAAAAGATATCTATTTCACTCTATTGTTTGCTCAAGCTTTGCAATCACGATTCTAACACCGAAAAATGAGTTTTATCTCGGTACATCGCTCTAAGGTATACATACGGATTTCCCTTTTATAGCTGCGAGCCTTTTCACAAAAAATTATGTTAAAAGAAATCGTGCGACGAGTTGTCCGCGACAAAATGACCGCGACGAAAAGACCTGCGACGAAATGTCCGTGCGACTAAATGACCGCGACGAAGTGTCCGCGACGAAAAGACCTGCGACCAATTGACCGGTCACCTTTTTCCATTCATATGCCAAACGGCATGTTTCTCAGAACAGAACGATATTCTATGAACAAGACTGTCCTTGTTTGTTTGAGAGAAGAAAAAAAAATAGGACCAAAAAAATACATCCCATGGCAGAATTAGGAACACTAGAAAAATTGAAAAAAATTCGACCTGCTCGTGTTGTCATGCTCCCCATGAAATAGAGACTGATTATTTTATGATCAAATGCATATGGATCGACGCAGAAATGTTTGCTCTATCTAGGGAACTAATGATCAGCTCTATGTGATAATAATCAGCCGAGTTATAGATCAATTACTGAGAAGTCAATTTTTTTGTAGCAGAATTAGGATCACCCGCTCTACTACTTTCTGTTAAGACTCGATTTTTCTCAGAAAGTAGAGAAAACTCTCTCTGAAACGTGCAAACGTGCGTAGAGATAGCTTTTTGGTTGAGTGTGGAGATTACTAATGCACACTATTTCTTTATCTTCTTTGCTGCAAGACTTCGAAATAAGTGATCCTTACCATTATTCACATTGAGTAATTTCCACTGGTCTGCATGTGGTACCGTTAAGGTTTCCATATCCTGGATCGATTTTAATACCAGCTGTGTGTGTTCCAAAATCGTTGACTGTTTGAATAAATCTGAGATATTCAGTTCTTTCATCGTAAACTGTGACTGGTAGTAATTATATAACTTCATCAGTAGTAATGAATTACCACCCAATGAAAAGAAATTCGATTTCATGGATAGCATTTTATCGACATGGAGTGTTTTACACCATAAATCGTGAATTTCTTGTTCTAATTCAGTTTTTGGTTCGAGATAATCGAGATTCATCATATGTAGCTGCTCAAAATCTGGTTTTGGTAATTGTTTACGATCGATTTTACCATTTGGATTTAACGGTAAATGGGACATAATAATAAATATGGATGGATTCATGTACGGCGGCAAATGTGCTTTGCAATACTCTGTAATTTGACATTCCAACGAAGCTTTGTCATCCTCGGTGGCTACGCAAGGTGACATGATATAAGCCACTAGATAATCTTGTTGGTTTTTTTCATAAGTTAGTTTCGTGACGTGACTTTTGGAAATACTTGCTGGTGCTGCTTGACATATCACCGTTTCGATTTCACCCACTTCTAGACGCTGTCCGCGAAGTTTTATTTGAAAATCCGAACGTCCCAGAAACAACAGTTCACCCGCTGAATTTATTCGTGCTAAATCACCTGTCTTGTATAGTTTTCCTTTTGCAGTTTCCGGAATACTGATTAACACTTCTTTATTCAAATCGCTTCTATTGAGGTATCCTGCCATAATGCCATCGCCTGTTTAATGTAGAAATTTTTTACTATTGCAAAAAGAAAACTTAACTATCTGAAAATATCCTACCTCCTATATAGATCTCTCCTATTTGATCGATTCCAACCGGTTTTAAAAACTTATCGAGGACATAACAGACATAATTCGGGAAGGGAGATCCGATTGGAATGACTTTTGAATTCAGATCTTCGCGTGTTACGATGTGGTACGTTGATGCAATGCCGCATTCAGTTGTACCATAAAGTGAATAGATTGTTGCCTTTTCGTCTAAATGGGACATTAATTTTGCTATAATTTTTGGTTCCATAGCTTCGCCTAAATAGAAAGCAAAAGGTCATTAATAAAATAAAAGCGTCGTGTTTTCTATTTTCACTATATTCTGACTGTGAAGGAACTTATTGTTACGGAAATTATCTGCGTTATTAGTAATTTTTTGAATGAAAGTTGGCAGATATCCGTTACGAAAGACTTCCTCAGAAATTGCTTCAGGTGTTGTTCTTTTCAGAGAAATTACCAGCAAAAGGTTAGGTAAAATGCGACAGAAAATCTCAAATGATTTTAAAGCCTGATGGTTACTTCGCTTCGGTCAAACTACTTGTGCATGATGGTGAACAATACTTTCGCCAGCTATACTTTGATGGTGGCGTAACAACTCGTAACGAGACATTTACAAGACTTCCGTAAGACGAAAGCCCTGTTTCTTTTATTCTACAGGGCTTTAGTATAAAAAAGCTTCCAGCGCAATCCCTATGAGATTAAACTGTGAAACACGATGAAGCCATTTAATCTAAACGACAATGGTCGAAGTGTCTGTCTGTCTGTCACGTTGTCACGGTCTGTGACGGGCCCCAAAGAACGTCTGTCTGTCTGTCTGTCACGCTCTCCATGTCTACGACGGGGTCAGAAAACCGTCTATCTGTCTGTCACACTTTCAATGTCTGTGAGGCAGGGAAGGGGCACTTTTCTCGCTCTAAACTTCAACACTCATTAACAATCGTGTTTCACAAAAAAATACAGGGCTTTCGTATCGACTTTACACAGCTTTCGTAACCCTAATATTTATATAATATCCTCTCTGTGATGCAGATAGTCCAACAGATTTTTTACTTGGCCTTCGTAACAGAATTTTACCGTGCTTTCGTAGCGAAGTGGGTAGTTACTTTTATGCAGAAAACACGGCATAAGCATGTATTGTAACAGGGCTTTCGTAACTAAGTTTTGCAGGGCATTTATTACCAGATTGAAAGACTGATACTGTGTAAAAAATAGGGTGTTCGTAACGAACACTCTTGCTTAAATATATCTGTTAAGTCAGGTGCCATCCATTCAGGACGACTGTTATGTACTTAAATGCTCTAAACATGTACTCTTTCAACATTTTCTTTGTGAGTGTGTGACTATTTCTTGTTGTAGCTGTTGACTGAAAGTCAAGAAAATCAATGGTGTACTCTTATTTCTATATTATTTTTGTTTTTCGCTCGTATAATCGTCTCTCTCTCTATGTTTTTCTTGGCTGTTGTTACTTCTGATTGTCATTACGAAAGAATTTCAGAAAAAAAGATTAAAGTTTGTCTGTATCAGTCTCCTAGTTCGCTCTTTGTGCTCTTGAACTTTTTTCGTCATATTTTCTAGCAGAATACTAATCTCACTAGGAAAGCCCTGCAAAATTGTGTTACGAAACCCCTGTAAAGCCGATACGAAAGCCCTGTTTTTTGTTGACTTATGCATTTTTACCTCGTTACGAAAGCCCTGTAAAAAAAGGTCTTGTACAGGGCTTTCGTAACGTCTCGTTACGAGTTGATACCTTCCCACTTTGATGTACAGCTATTTTATAGTCGACTTTAAGACAGTCTTACCAATTGAGCAAAATGATCGTATTGTTTTGATACGATCAAACTGCATGTTTTTCTCCAAATATTCACAAAGCATATTTGTAAATGTTGGTACAGTATGTATATAAGTAGCAGTTCGATTCTGAATCAATTTTGTTAAATAATCCATGTCTGCAGAAGATTTCGGTATGACAATTTGGGCGCCAATTAATAGTGTACCAACAATTTCTTTGAGATGTATATCCCATGAACATCCAGTTGTTTGAATAACAACATCACTGTTCTGCAATATATTTGTTTTAACATACGCCTGAATGCATAAAAGAAAGCTATGGTGGCGTGTTAGAACGGCTTTCGGAATGCCCGTTGAGCCAGATGTGTAGATGATATAAGCAATATCTTCTTGCTTGACAGTTATAGGCGGCAGCTCTTCACGTGAATTTTCAATATTGTAACTTTCATAGACATTTTCTTCGATATCAATGACTTCAATGTCTTCGTTTTTTAACTCATCTGCGATCGAATCAAATTTCGATTTTGTTTCTTGATGTATTAAAATAATACGCGATTTTGTGTCACGTATCAAAGTTAAAATACGTTGTGGTGGATTCGACGGCATTAAAGGACAATAAACACATCCCGTGGCCATGATAGCTAAAATTCCAACTACCATTTCAAATGATTTTTCAATCACTTGTGTTATTATGTCACCCAGCTTAACATGATGATTTTTAACCAAATGTGTGGCTAAACGTTTCACATGTTCAGCTAAATTATCATACGTAAAGCGTTGTTCATCGTAAATTATAGCAATTTTGTCTCGATGCATTTCGGCAGATAAGAAAAATTCTTCGTGAATACACTTGGGAAATAGTATGTCGGCATCTTCAGTTAAATTCATATCGTGTATCAGCTTTATTTCATTTGATAAAAGAACTGATAATTCGTGCACAGGCCGATGCCGTTGCTGATCAATAAATAAATGCTGCAAAAGAGCTTGAAATCTGTTACACATTGTTTCAATTGTTTTTCGCTCGAAAACGTCCGTTGCATACTCGAAGGAACACGATAAGGCTCTATGTTCATATTCGTAGATGTTAAGTGTCAAATCATTTTTGGCCACAGCGTAAGGTAAGCCTGTCATAAGATTGCAAACAATGCCGTCACCCATCTGTAAGTTAACACACTTGCCATTACGATATATGAGCACTGTCTGAATAGCAACTGGATTTTCGTGACCGCTACGATGTAGTTTTAAAATGTCCTGGTAAGGTAAATATGAATATTGCAGCTGTTCCGAGCATAAGTTATGAATTTCAGCTATCAGATACTCAAATGTTACTTCTGGATCGTCGCCGATTCTACATCTGTATGGAACCAAATTAACAAACATACCAATAACGTTCTCTAACTCTTGGCGATATCTGTTAGCATTAATACTACCAATACAGATATCGTTGTCAAAATTTGTTAATTTGAACAAAAAAACGCAATAACATGCCATAAACACTTCGAAAACTGTAACGCCATTATCGGCACAGTATTGACGAATAGCAATAGTATAAGGTTCAATCGCGCAGGTAACTGCTGAACCGTGTCCAGTACGAGTTTCAGCTACACGATCATAGGGTAGTTGAAGTTGTTTCGTAATGTCGTACCCATCTAAAAGTTGTTTCCAATATTGTCGTGCTAATTGAACCATACTAGATGGATTTTCATCATTAAACATTTGTCTTTCATATTGAGCGTAATCGATATATTGTAAACAATCATCGTTTGATATTTGATGAAGCTCATTGTTAGCGTATGCCAACAGCAAGTCATTCAAGAAAAGTGTGGTAGAATAACCATCAAAGGCGATATGGTGAAAATTAAACAGAATATAATCATTTTCGTTCAACATGTTTTGATCGATGGTATTATTATTGCTGTTGTTTACTCG